GAGCAGGTCCAGAGAAGAGCAACGATGATGCTGGTGAGGGGATTGGAGCACAAGTGCTATGAGGAGAGGCTGAGGGAGCTGGGGTTGTTTAGCCTGGAGAAGAGGAGGCTCAGGGGAGACCTTATCACCCTCTACAACTCCCTGAAAGGAGGTTGGAGTCAGGTGGGGGTTGGTCTCCTCTCCCAGGCAACCAGCAGGAGGACAAGAGGGCACAGACTCAAGCCAGGGGAGGTTTAGGTTGGATTAGGAAGAGATTTTTTACAGAGAGAGTAGTCAGACATTGGAGTGGGCTACCCAGGGAGGTGGTGGATTCACCATCCCTGGAGGTTTTCAAGATGAGACTGGATGTGGCACTTAGTGCCATGGTCTAGTAACAATGGTAGGATTGGACTTGATGATCTTGGAGGTCTTTTCCCAGCTGTTTCTATGATTCTCTATGTCCTATGCATATGTTCAGTAATAGCTCCCCTCAATAGTTACAGGGAAGGTAACCCTCCAAAGCTCAAGGTTTTCAAAATTATCTTTCAGCTTCAGCATGACCAGTGCCATATTACCCATGCCTGGTGTGATAATCCATCAGGATCATACAGTCTTCTTTGAAATGAAGGAGAGATGATTTCTCTCCTCAAATCACTCTGTGTCATACAATGAGCAGTTAGCCCTGCACAATGTGCTCTGTAATGAGGGCTGCTCCAGCATTTTATACCATCACTCGGTAACACCAAAGAAAATGACAAGAAAAAAACCACAGGAAGATGGAGTGCAAGGAGGATAAGTAGCCTGGCACTGTGGCCATCTAGACAAGAGTTATACTTTATCTGTGGTGATGTCCCTGTCACAAGGTGAATTTTTCACTCTTGTAAAAGCTTTCAGCATGAGCTCTGTTCCAGTACATCTTCAGTTCTCCCTATTGTTTTATTCCCATGGCAGCATATTCATTCTTTCATCCTTTCACAGAGGTGTTTCTTCAATTCTCAGGCACATGTGTTAATATTTCAATATATTAATATTTCAAAATGTTTTGGAAATAATCCTAATTTAAAAATTGATTAAGCTTTTCTAATGTTGAAAACGTTCTGTTCAGGGGTTTTATCTACTTCAGTGGTTTCTTCTTTCCCCTATTTATTTTCCATTTTGCTAAAATTGTAGTGAATTACTATTAATAAGGTTTTCTTCATTATAGTTCTAACTGAATCATATTTCAGACAATTTCAACTGCACTAGCAATTATATGACTTAATCTATTTGCTTTTGAGATATGGCAAACAGACCATGGAAAGCATATAGAAAGCTTGGCAGAAACATTGACTTTTGGAACTATTATTGCTCTGTTCTATATAAAAATGAGGGAAAATGTGCCCATTGTTTCAGGCCAAAAAATACCTGCTTACAGATCACAGCACACTTCTGTCATGAAACATGAGGCTAGATCTGACCACCTCAGAGCCCCCACAAAACAGAGCTGGTTTTACTCATAAAACAGCTGTTGAGAGGTCACTGAAGACAGAATTATAGGTTCAGTGGCTCTGTCCTTATACACACTTTAAATGTAACCCTTTTACATACACAATGGGAAGAGCAGCAGCTGTTGCTGGACTTTGAGAGTATCTAAAAAAATACAGCAGAACAGCTTCCAAATGGGCAATTCTTCCCAAATGAGAAAGTTCCATTGAAAAAATGAAAAAGCCCACCAAAAAATCCTGTGCACATATATTCAGAGCTTAACTGGAAAAGTGACATTTAATTTGACTGAATGAAGACTCTGCTATGTTTGAAATGAAGCTTTATATATAGAGTAATTAATGGATGTCTGAACCATAACATCCAGGCTCTACAAAAGGTAATCCCCAGGACTAAAACCAGCACAATGGAATTCTACTAGGTTCAAGAATAGCTCTATATGTAGTTACAGACCTCTTGGATAGATTGTCAGTTGTAAGTAAGATAACAGAAATAATACATATTCGGTAATATTTTCAAAAGCAACAGATGTTGGAAGTCTGTTATTTATGGTTAGAAAAAAATATGCCGATATTTGAAATTACAGATTGACTGTATGTATACATGTATTCTTTATATACAGAATGTTTTGGACTAGTTGCATTAATGGTATTTTCCTATTCATTCAGCTTTTTTACCAGGTTAATGGAGATATGTGTTTGAAGATAATTGAAAATGGGAAACAAAGAGATGTTGTCATCCGAGAAGGGGAGGTAAAACAGAGTTGTTGTTCTGTTATTACTGTACATAGCTATGCTAAATGAATGTATAAAGTATTTATAAAACAATTTATCCCTGCTGGGCAAGAGTTGGCATCATGAATTTAAAAAAAATAAAAAAGCTTGGCTGGAGTGTAGAAAATTCCATGTCATTAACAGCAAATTACAATACACTGAGTTTAACATGTCGCTATTTGAACAACAGATAAAAATCTCTCTGAGCATCTGGGATACCCATTCAGGTAGTCAGGAATATACTTAGAGGAGTTCTTATTCCCCTGCATGGCATGAAATCTGCCACATGAGTTCAAGTAGATCAGTCTTTTATTTACACATTGCCAGGTTCATACTGATCACCCGCCCACAAGAACCATTAAGCAAAATGCCTAAACCTCAAAATTTAAGCACTTCGGCGATTTTCAGCCTTCTTTAATCCTCACAGCTAGCCTTTCCAACATCACAATACAAGAACATTGTTAAAAGAGGCATTTATGGGCAAAATGTATCCAATTTTTCCTTATTGTAGTACACTTGCTAAGGCATAGATTGCAGTGCTTTTACTGAGAGCATGATTAGATACTTCACTTGGTGTTACTACAAGTTAGAGGTACTACAACTCATTATTATTGACACAAGCTTGAGCTGCACTCAAGTCTTTGAAAAGGTTGTTAGGTCTAGTGGAGACAGCATTTAAAATGGAAGACATATTAAACCCAATAGCTTGATCTCGTTAAAAGTATTGTGACATTTTCAATTAAGAGAGACATCTACGTTTTTGAACCTATAGACTGCAAGATTCTGGTGATACGCTTCACAGTGGAGAAGCACACGCAGCTGATATCTTAGCATGTACCAGAGGCATTAATGAAAAGGAGCACACAATATCCTTAGTGGAAAGACTGACACTAGTCCTGGTGAGGCACTGTCATTAGCTCTGTTTTGTAGACAGAGAAACTGTAATGACTTGCCCAACCTTGGTAAAGAAATCCATAGTGCCAAAAAATACAAGTTTACCACCTTCTTACACAGTCAGATAGCTGCTAGAAAAGGGTTTCTTCTCAAGCTTCCATAATAGACTTCTCCTAACCACATTGCTTATTCACTTTGTCACTTTCATAAGTAAGTAGCCCTCGTATTTTTAAATTATTTCTGGAGAAAATAACACTCCTCATCATGCAGTCACAGGTGCTCACTGTGTTGGAAGGATACACGTGGCTAGTTTAGACATTTTTCCTGAACTGACAACAAACTTGCTTTTTATTTCCACTTCTGTTACACAGAAATTGCAGTAAAGTTATAAATTCCAGATGAGTAATTGGCTGGATTTTAATTTTAGTTGTGTCTAGCAAAGATTATCAAACCACAAGGAGAGAATGTGACTGCCATAAAGGCAGCACTGATTGCAGGGACACTATGTCATCATTCACAGGGAAAGCAAGAAACTATGTGCAGGGTTGTGGGTACCAAAGTAGGTGCAGCTGCAAAGAAGCAAGATAGGATCAACAAAGAGCAGGGGAGAAGTGGGGCAAGGAGCAGAGGATTTTGCAGGTTGAGGGGCAGGGGAAAGACAATGCAAAGAGCAAAGACTTCCTGGCACTGATGCTTTCCCATTTCTTTGAACAGATGTTCCTCCTACCTGCTAGGATACCTCATTCTCCTCAGCGATATGCAAACACTGTGGGTCTTGTGATTGAGAGAGAAAGATTAAAGACAGAAATTGATGGGCTCAGGTGAAGTATAAACTTCTGGCTAATCTGTTAGGATTCATAATATAAACTAATTTCTTATGTCAATACAGTACTGTATTTTACTTTCTTGATAATATTATCAGATTCACCCTGGCAATTTTGTACTAATTCTATCCACACATTTATTTATCTATACACACATAAACAGAGATCTCATTTAGCATTTGATTTAGTTAAACAAGGAACATATTGAAATGTCCTAAATGCATGTTGTGGTTGTAGCTATCTACTTATGTACTGCCTACTGCTATTGGCTTAAGTTTTAAAAAAATCTCAGAGCTCTCTAACAACCCAAATCAAAAGGATTTTTTTATAAATTCTGGCAAGGAGAATATTAATTCCTTTGTAAGCACTGAAAGGAAAAGGATGAAGAGCAGCTTTATTGGCAAGTGCGTGGGAAGCTGGAAACAAAAGCCAATTTTCTTAACACTATCCACTCTACATTGTACACACCTCTGCCTAGCTTTTATTGCCTTATGAGAACAACATCTTCAAATAAGTGACAGGTTTACTTTGTATTCTAATGGGAGCAGAACTAAGCTTTGTCCTGTAGTCATGTAGAATTCACAACTCTTAGAAGGTAACTCAAAGCAGTAACATTAACCAATCTAGAAAAGCTGGTTTGATAGCAGATACAACTGACCAAAAAAAGTTTACAATTGTTCATGTAATTTATAAAGATTTAAAACTGCAGTGATATTTGTAATGTACTGTTTCTGTCCTTTTGCGTGTAGTTTTGTTGCATGGATGGTATCACAGCAGGAAGATAGCAAATACACAGAGCTAGAAAGACATACTTAAAGACATACTTTTTCATTCAAACAAAAAAAGGCTATAGAAAACTAAGAAACTAAGAAAGGGACCATTCAAAAAAAACCCTCCTGATTGAATTCCAAGCTAAAGAAAAGTCCAGTTTATTTTAAACATTGTTTATCTATGCACTTGTTCCTTTTTTGGCTTTCATTGCAGGTCTGTGGATTGTGAGGGCTTACATTATTAAAAAGGTATTTCGAGCTAAAAACAATTGACCAGTGATTCAGATAACAATGTTTATTTGTAGTAAAGGGACGTAAGTAGCTTTAGGTAACTTTAAGTAAAAACAACCTGCTATGTACATGAAGTCTGTGAATGGTATGAGAAATGCTGAATGCCATTTTGGGGGTCCCAGGCAGGTCTAGAAATTTGCACTCCAATGTAGGCATGTTCTTGTGGAGAAATTAAACTGAAAGCTACCATATGGTTTGCAGGTGGAAATTAGCAAAGCACAGTCTCAACTGAAAATATCTAATTAGGTGCCTGAAAATGAATCACTTAGAGGTTTTTAGCATGCTTCTTTTCCTATTGATATGGTGAAAAAAGGCACCTGAAATTTTGAAAGTGCACAATCTTGTCATGCTTTCGAACCTACATTGTCTCTGTGTGCTCCTGGGAGAGATGGGGATTTGCAACCAGAACCTCTAATCTTCTCAAATGATTTTTTTTCACTCCCAGCCACCTGCAGCAAAGACTGTACAAGAGGAAGTCATAATAAACTTTGAAATATGCTGACTTGAGGTCTAATGTTACATTACTGTGCCATTATTTATCATGCCTACAAGCCTTAGTCATAAATCAGAGACCCCAGCATACTGATTACTGTACAAGTGAAGAATAAGTAGCCTGCCCCAGTGTTTCAGCCTAAGTAATGATTACATGCCTTGTCCTATAAGAAAAATGAACTAGCTAATCTTAATCCTATGGCAAACAAGTACAAAACCAACTAAGGTTGATATTCGTCACGTGGCTTGATTCTTAAAGGTGCAAAGTCCTTCCCAGGTGCAAAACCTTGTCCCGAACAAGACATTTGTAGCATCTCGTTTCTCTGTATGCTCTCTGTGTTCAAATTTGGTGCTCATAGAACAGCCTTTTCCATATTGGAGGCATAAATATCATTACTCTCTTCAATGTACACTTTTATGCAAAACTTGAGGAACCAGGGAACTCCTAGAGTTTCTGGACAACACATAAGACAGACATGAACACACAAATATGCATAGGATAATTACATAAGTCTTGTTTTCCTTTTCAGATGTACATTTTGGTAACTTTAACATAAAAGACACATGGGATCCTTTTAAAACCAGTCACATGATTAGCATCACTCCTTGACAGTCCATGCAGCCTTTTTAAAATCTGAATGTAAACTTTTTATTTGCTATTACAGCAACTTTAACCTATTGCTTTCAGCATAATTTATTTATTTGTTAAGACAGAAAATAATGTAAGTGTAGCACTAAGTTCCTCTTCAGAGGGGTGAGCTAAACACTTTCCAAATCTTTGCAGCTGAAAATAATCTTTTTCACAAACAAGTCCATAAACCACCTTGTTTTGATCTCAGTCCATGCATGGACATTAAGCAAGATGACTCTGAGAAGGAACATTTATCACATAGCTGCATGAAAGCAATTACTGCAAATGGTATTTGGGGCCAGTTGTTTTTGTAGCAACTACATCCATGGTCCCAAGGGATTATGGCACCAATCATTTCCAGGACAAAATCTGGAAAGTTTGCTGCAGGAATTTGGTGACTTACATGTGATCAATACAAGGCTCTCCATAGAAGTCTGAGCACCCCACCCACCCACAAAGTCACCAAGCCAGGAAAACAGAAAGCTTCCCCTAAATACCCATTCTTTGGAATAAAGTACACCATGCTTGAGAATAACATGCTCTTACACATCAAGTAGTTATTCTTTTGAAAAGACTGGAACTGCCTGATCAGTTAGTTAATAAAAGGATTGGCAAATCTGTTTACTTTGGCAGATACTATGTCGGAGAATCAACTAATGTTCTCTTTGAAAAATGGTTTCACTGCGAAGATCTCGGCACTCAACTGATACCAATAATTCAAGAGTAAGCTTTTTTTCTTAGTAAATTAAAAATGATTAAAATTACCTTGTAGATCTTTGCCAGTCTGTGACTTACACAGTTAATTTTCTATTTATGGTGCATTTTACACAGACTTGTTAAAATTTAATTGCTGTTCTACACATTTTTAATCATATATTGTATGCCCCAAACCCATTAAGTCAGATTTAAAAAATAGTGTGAAAAATCAAGTGTTTTGCATATTGATCTGGAGCATACTTTATGAACCAGTAAAAGCACATTGCTGCTAAGTGCAAAAAGAATAGAATGAAAAATTAACACTGATTGATGCTAGGTTAACTAGTTAAAACACTAAATTGCCTTAAGCTTTCTTTCAGTCTTGCTTTAGTCTGAGTACTTTTAATCAATATTATTTATGAATAATCAGGACTGTGGCAACTTTGGTAGAGAGCTGCTTTCCAGGAAAAGTGTGAATGTCATCAATTAACTAATCAGTTTATTAAATGGTTGTTAAAGGTGTATAAGTGAATTGTTTAGTGACATGAATTTTGGAGGACTTTCAGACAAACCCTCTGTCAATAAAATAGGTATAGTCCTGTTGCATGTATGTGATAGTAGCTGGCACATCCATTCTCAACACAAAGCTTAATGGCCAGTATTACTGCCTAGTCTTTGTTAACCTACAGAACATTACTTTTTTACTTGTATTTAAATGTTCGTTATTCCAGGTTTTTCAATTCAAGACAATATCAAACTGGAAAACCAAATCCAGGTAATGCAAATTAATTTCAGAATTGGAACAATTGCTGATTGAGCAGCAATGATTCTCACCACACAAAATCACAAGTCTCTGTAATTATATGTAAATTAAAGTTACTTTGGGAAGTAACTCCTTTGACTACCCCCAACCAGAATTTAATTTCATATACATGATTACCAACAGCATCTTGGCTGTTCATGTGATTCCATCCTAACAACTTATCAGGTAACTATACAGTGTGAAATCTTAGTATCTCTATCCTTGCATATGTTTCAAGTCTGATACTAACAAAATTTCTTTTCTGACTGCACTTAATGTGATTCTTGTGAGTTGAAACTGTACACTCTCTACCTACTTGTCCTCCTTTACCTATAACTATACAGTGTGACCTACTCTTGGGAGACCAAGACAATGACAGATGTTTGTAGTTCCTGTAGGGCCTGATCCATTTAACATTTTATTTCTATGCTCCCTTGCTCAGTTTTTTATTTTGCCTGTGCTTGAGAATAGTGATTGCAGTTGTAACTCCATTCGAGTAGGCTGGACAGAGACATAGGGCAGAGAGTGAGTGACTGTTCAAGAAAACCAGTTTCTTAGTTAAGGAATCATATGTCTCAAACACAATGGTTGCTTTCTGCATAGTAACTGAAGTCTCTATTGCAAGGATACTTGCAACAGCACCTTCAGTGAGAAACTTGTTATGCTGAGATCTTACAATCCTGTTGGCCTACAGCTTTACATGAGCATCTAGCACGTGCATGACCCATTGCCATTGATTAACATAAAGTAACCAATTCAGTCAATCCCATTGCTCAGCTAGGTTTGTTCTTTCAAATCTGTCTACTGTCTCATCTATACAGACAACTGACTGAGGGACATCCTGCACCAACTAAGAAATTTCTGGCTTAGGTGCACTGCGTGTGCACACATACATGGCTGTAATACCCAGCTACACTACTCTTAACAATTACATGACTAACTTGAATGTCATCCTCCAGTCACACCTATAACTTAAATTCATTGCTCTTGCCATGAGATAAATATAAATCTTAGCTTCCCTCTCTACAAATTTTTTGAACCCTTTGTCCTTAATTTCCACATTAATTCCCCAAATGTTTTAAGATGATTGTTATGAATTACTCTAATAGAAAAGGTCTAGCAAAACATTATTTCTGCATCTATTCCATTTCTCAGATTGAGGTCACCACGAAAAAAAGTCTCTGCTATCTCAATCAATAATGTAACAGAGTACTTACTCAAATGCTATAATCAGGGAAAGCTGTTTTTTGCATGAACATCACCTTTGTTAAAAATAGTTAATGAAAACCTTGTCACCAAAATTAAAAGTTCATGGAAGATCCCTCTGCATGGCATTGCAACTTTAGAGCCCTAGCAATTAGGAGATGGTAAACTGTCAGAAACCCTGCCTGAAAAACATTGCAGCTGAGCCAGCTTTTCACATTACATTGGTTCTTTGACTGTCTAGGAAATGTACTTCTCAGAAAAAGGCTCCATGTTTCTTATGTGCAAAATGTTGTTGTCTCCATGAACTTACTTTTATTTTTATGCACCACCATAATGTGTTTGAGTTTATTTTGAGCATGTCACCTGTGTTTGGGTGTTGGTGGTTTGGGGTGAGATTTTTGCACAGGAGGAGGTTAGGTAGGGCAGGTACTGTCTGTCACTGTGTGTTCATATAGTGCTTAGCAGAGGAAATAGAATTTCAGATGGTACCTCTAGATGCTGCTGTAATAAAAAACCCTATCATATCACATGTGCTATCCTTGTGCAATACAGTGATTTCCAATAAGCATCCCTCATCAGGCTAAGCTGAGAGTTTATATGTCAATAACAAATTAGTTATGTCAGTACAGAAAGAAAAGAACATTAAAGATATATATTGTTAATATTTTTGCTGAAGATTAGAGCTAAAAAACAAACCTGACAATCAGAAGCTATGATACATATTTACAGCTTTTTTTTAAACACAGAATTCAGAGACACTGTTATTGATAAATCCAGTACAGAAGTTCTTTCCATGTAATTTATTCAAAAACTGTAAAAATGCAAAACAAGCATGAGAGACTTCCATGAAAGCTGTAAAGAAATTTTTTCAAGACAAGAAAAACCTACCCCACAAGGCATGTAAACATAGTTATTTTGTTTATAGGTCAGTATGCCATTCTCAGAGGGAGTGAATTCTCCTCTTGGATTAGATGCTATGTCAAGGCAACAAATATTTGAAATTATCATCTTTCTGTAAGCAAAAGGCAATCAACAAAGTTAACTGTCAGGCTTTCAGTCTGGGTAACAGCCTCATTTTTCCAATTTTCAAGTCTCATGGACAACAAGCAGCTCAACATCACAGTGATATCTTATACATGAGGAAAATATCCCACATTTTCAGTTACAGAAGTTTTAACTCATAGCTGCTGTAACTGTCAGTGAGGCTTGTTGTTTAGAAAATAAACAAAAATAAATTAAAAGAAAAAAGTCAAAGTTTGACTGAGATAGAAGTAAGCTGGCAATATGTTTGCTCTGGAGACATACCTAACTGACAGAGAAATAATGCTTTGGATTTATTCCCTCAGCAGCTCTCTTTCTATTTAAATAGAGTTCAACAACCAGCATGACAATTGTACCATATAGCAAGATACCACCAGTTTCTCATGATATTTCACTCAAGACACATTTTAACATGATTTGAGCTGGCCTATGCATGAGACTGGGTTTCAGCCTTTCTTTCAGCTTCTCCTGAAAATCCAGAATCTCCTCAGTTTAAAAGTGCCAGCTGAAGCACTCCAGATTCATCTCTACATAAGCCCAAACTAGAGCCTCACCTTTTTAGAGAGAAATGGAATCAAACTGAAGAAAAACATCTTGAAAGAAACTCTTGATTGCAGCTCAGTCATAGAGGAAACCTATAAATGGAATCAATCAAGCTCCAACTGCTTTAGAAAAAAAACAGTAAAAAACCACCACAGAAAAAAAACCCTAAACCTAAGTCCAGATTTTTCTTTATTTTTATGGTTTCTGGCTTAGCCAATAGCAGGGCAAATCCCTCTGAAAGCAAAGTAATCAGAATACATGAAGAGACAGCAGAAGAGGGACTCAGATACCATCAGGTGAAATCCAATCAGAAACATATATTGTATGCAATCCTTACTTGGGGCATTTTCCCTTGTACTTTTTTGTGCTCTATTACTAGCCTCTTTTGTTTCCATGTGTAGAAATAAAGCTTAATAACAGTCTCCCCTTCTTTTGTCAATAATAGTGACTACATTCAGGGTATAGTCTAAACATGAAACACTCAAGATGGGTTAGTTTGGTTTAGTTCACTTAGTTTTTGACATGAGGAATGATGGTTATCAAAACAACTCTTGCTACTTTCAGTGGAATCAGACTGAAAGCAAGATTCTCTCAATGTTTCTATTTCATCCCCATTTTGTAGTCAAGAGGACAAGACGGTTCAGGCAGAGAAACTGCAGTTCAAATAAACAGCAGTGGCTGAATATTCTTCACAAAAGTAACCAGAAGTTCAAAAGCTTATCCTGCCATGCTCACTGAAATAATCCAGGCTTCTTTTCAGTGAAATTTGATGGGGAAAAAAGTGCACAAAAACACTTTTCCAAAGTTAGGCTTGTTTAAAAATTGACTTTATGAACATTATTGGTGTATGTAGAATGTCAGGATTCAGTTTATCCAAATTAGTCTACTTCTAATTGTCAATGAAATGATCTTTTCCATAAAAGCTTTATTGCCAATGAACATACAGATATATAATGCAAAAACCAGTCCTGTAGTGACTTCACTAGCAAAACTTTAACTGAGTCTCAGTGTATCTAGGGTAATTCATAGTGTTGACTTAGAATCTGGTCAGTATTGTTAGAATACAGCACAGATTTATGTTTCTGATTCAGACCAGACAAAACCTAAGAAATTGAATGAGTTTAAAAATTGGGTGATTTCTTCAATCAGTGGAGCAGCAATACCATACAGCTTAGGGTGTGGTCTGTAAATAAATGTTTTACGGTTTCAGTGGTGCTGCTAAACAAGTAATAAGGGTGAGCTCAGCACTATAAAAGTAGATTTCCCTATTGTCATCCTCTGTAGGTAATCCAGTGCAATCTCTGTAGACAGTATCTGCTGTTCAGTCTTGTTTCACTGCTGTGCAGAAACAAGTAGATCTTTATTCCTCAGTTTTTCTTCTTCCCTGTTATCTGGCTGGTGGGCAACATTAATTCAATTAAAACTACCTCAGAAAACTGAAAACACTGAAGAAGAAATTACATCTTAATTTATACCAGAACAAAGAGAGGGCCATTCTTTTGAACTTAAAATAACTGTATAAATATTGGTGCCTGTTTTAAGTACATTGAAATAATTCTAAAGATACACTCACTGTGGTTTTTTTTTAAAAATACGAATTATAATTTTGGAAATAAGTTTTGTTTTCTATGAAGCTGTTTAGAAAATTGACTATTTGGTTCTTTTTCCTCTCATCTTTTAAGCACTTTCAGTGTACCTAGATAAATCACTTCTTCTCTTCTATAATATGTTACTTCTTTCTGCTTTGAGTACTTGTATTAAATGAAACAGCATATGAGCATTTAGATATTAAGGACTGTTCCTCTAGGGAATTTATTTTGCAGTCACCAGGAGGTCTCCAGAACAGAACAGTATTCAAACTGGTACAGAGAATCAATCATCTTAAACTGTCTAGACCCATCATAATTGTACAATTCTCCAGAACAACAACTTGAATCTTCTCCTTTTTCATAGGATTCTCATTGCTCTCTCCTGGAAAATACCTCCACATAAATACACTATTTATCTTTATCCTGTCATAACTAGATCCTATAAGTAACTTTCAAGTCATGTTTATCTCTCTCCTGAAGTCCACCTAGACTGCAAAGGGTATGTAGGTAGAAGAAGAGAATAGAATCATCTAATATAACTATCCAGTCCTTATAAACATGCAACCTCTCAGTGGCTTCATCTATTTGCTCTCA